AATGCTCTACCTCTTGACTGGAGTGCTGGTTACGCAGGTGTACAGACATGTAAAAACTCATCAGGCTAAAAGGTGAGGTGCAGGAACTCCTGCGCGTAAGTTAAACCCCGGTGAAAGAGGAAGAAAGCCCACCATTCACCCCACCCAACCACCCGCATTACGAAGAGGACAAATGAGCCTGCAGGTTTCCAAGCGTCCCCGGCCAGCGGCCACCCACGCGCATCCAAGGTGCCACCCAAGCTACTTCAAGGTCCCTTGAGGGATTCACTCCTGTGCCCCCCAAGTGGGAAGGTTGAGACAGACGCCCGTGGGAGGACGAGCGGCTCCTGAGCTAGGCCGGGAGTGGCAGGGGAGTGGAGGGGACGCACGCGGTCTCCAGGGCCCCCGACTCCTGCCCCTCCCCTGCACTCCCAGGGCAGCGGGGTACACCCGTGGGGCCTGGCGAGGCAGGACCACAGCAGCCATGCCACGTCCAGCTGTCTTACAAAACACACTTGCCACCTGTATGCCCAGGCCTGGAAGCAGAGGGAGGATGCAGACCTTGGGGGCCAGCCTGCACCTCAGCTTTCACCTCTATAACTTCCCCAAATTATCCCAGTGAGAGAAGCCTGTGACGAGGTAGGAGGCGTACGCCAACGGAGTCCAGATTGGGGTAGCCCCGAGGAGCCAGCTGGGGTCCTGACAATATCCAAACACCCAGGGAGTGCCTGCCGCCAGGTGCCCGGGGTAGGGTGATGTGTAAAGACTGTGCCAGCACCGCGCCCACTTCACATCCTCCCCGTCTCACTGCCTGCCTCTTCCTGGCCTGTGTTCTGGATCAGGGGCAAAGGAGGAAGCTGGGGCAAAAATGCCTCTGTGGGACGACGACTATGCGTAGGAACCGGACAGTCCCAAGACACCCCGCTCCTCCCTGAACCCACTGGGCACCCAGATGCTTCAAACAAACGCAATGGAAAAAGGGCAACCGCCTTGCTGATTCTGCCCTGTGTCCCTCTGGCTGAGAATCAGGACCACAGACTTGAAGATGGGAAGGTCCTCAAAACCATCTCTACTCCAACACCTTCACCTCACAGTTGACGAAACTGAGGCCCAGAGTGAGGAAAGTCTTGCCATGGGTCACGGAGTAAGCTGACGGGGTGAGTGCCGCTAAGCACCCCACGCCCATTCTCTGCCCGCCCTACACAGGTTCAGAACAGCCTGGGAGAGACAGAGAAGGCGTGCTCTCCTCTCAGCCCCCCCATCCCCAGACCTGCATGCGGTTGCGGGAAGGAGATCACCGTTTCCGGCTCATCAGGGTAAGGACACATAAGCCCAGATAGCTTCTTCAGGGTCCTCTAGACCATGACATGCCCTGAGAGGAGTCGCAGGGTCACAAGTACCCGCAGAGCGCCATGTCTCTGTGAGGCATCCACAGTTACCAAACACTCTAGCAGGGAGGCATCAGAACCACCGGAGTTATTTGTGGGTCCCAACCTGTTGGGGTCCCGGGCCTGTCCGAAGGGTGGCCGGAAGTTATGGGTCCATGAAACAGCACTTCACACTCTGACACCTAATTGTGCCCAAAGTCCCCCTGGTGTTCATAGACACCCTGAGCCTGCCCGGAGGTCTCTCGGGGAGAGAGATCCTTGTTAAAAGAGAGGATGGACAAGAGCCAAGCCTTGCTTCCCCAGGCCAGCTGCTGAGCCCCATCACTGGCAGTGTCCTCCCACATCAGAAGATAGCAGCCCCTCAGGTCACTGCTCCTCACTTCCTCAGCAGGTCGCGGAAGGGGGTTGGGGGTGGGGGTCACATCAGCCTGGACCTGACTGTGCTGGGAAGAAGGGAAACAGCAGGGTAAATACAGCCAGGAGGCAGGCCAGGAAGCCAGCCAGATCCTGAGAATCCAGGCACTCCCGGGTACTGTTCCCTACCCATTTCTGGCCAGACTGGGCTAGAGGGCTAGAAGGGGTCTGTGCCCAAGCTGCGGCAAGGCTAAGCCCCCTTCTCAGGCAGGCCTTACTGGGGCACAGGAAAAGGCAAGCTAGTTGCTCCCAGGGATGCCTCAGAGGAAGATGCCCAGACTGTACCGGCCCTCAGCACCAGGCCCTGCAAGGAGCCCCGCCTTGGGAAGTAGAGGCAGGGATTCCTAGGAGGAGCCACCCCTCCTCTGCTCCCGAGGAATCACTATCCAGGCCTCCCCGGACCCATCTGCCCAGCTCTCTGCCCCTTGACCTCCTCCTCCTCCTCAGCGGGCGCGCAGGGGGAGCAGCAGGTGCAAGACGCGGGGGTGGCACGGAGGTGACACAGAACCACACTCGCCCCCACCTCCTAAGCCCTGCTGGCCTCTGCCACAGCCCTCCTCCACCCTACCACCCCAGGCTGGAGCTTCCGTTGGGATACAGAGATGGAAGGGGGGGGGGGCAGCTAGCTGCCTGCCTCTCTCAGACTGAGGGGTGGGAGGTGGCGCCGGGAATGTCCTTCCTTGCTCGTCCACGGACGCGAGGGACTGGGGGCCCCCAGCTGGCCCTCTCGCCAAGGACGCGGCTCCGCAGTGGCCCGGGCGGGGGCCGAGGCCGGAGGCCGCAGCCCCCAGCCCCGCCCCGCCCTCCGGCCCCGCACGGCGCTCCCGCCAGGCCCCGGCGCCTGCCCGGCGGCCTCGCTGCGCGGTCCCGCCCCCGGCCCGGCCCCGCTTACCCGGGGCGCTGCAGTCCGCACACACCTCCGCCCGCGGCCCCTTCCGGGACATCCTCAGCGGCGACGCGGCCGCAGCCCTCTGGGCCAGCGTGGGGGGCGCGGGCGGCGGGCCCGGGCGGCGGCGGCCCCTGCTGCCCGGCCCGGCTCCGGCAAGGCCCCGGCTAGGCTCCGCGCGCCCGGCCAACCGTCCGCCCCCGGGGCTGGCCCGGAACCCGCCGTGCCCGCCTGCCCGCTCGCCCTCCGGCGCCCTCCGCCCCGCGCCGCCCCGCGCCGCCCCGCCGCCGCTCGCCGCTCGCTCTCTCCGCCCCCTGCGCGGCTCCGGGCCGCTCCTGCAGGAAGCGGCGCAGGCCCTGCCCACCGGGGGAGGGGCAGCCTGCACACCCGCCCCGCCGCCCGGCCCTGCGGGCCGCGCCTCCCGGAGAAAGGAAGCCGAGAGCGCGGGCGGGAGGGGGCGGGGGTGCTTAAAGGGGCCGCGCGGCAGCCGCTGGGCAGGCTGGAGAGGGCAGCGTCGCCTTTGGCCTTGGCCTCTGCTCTGGCACTCTCCGGCCCCGCGGCAGTGTGAGTTACCCTCACAGCCCCATCCCCTTCGCTTTCCAGGTGGAGGGTGGCCCCGGGGGCTCGGGGACAGTGACCCCTGGGGAACAGGGAAGAGTAAGGAGCTGGAGGCCCAGGCCTCTTTCCCCGTCAAGGGGCTGTGGTTTGGGATACCCGCCTATGTCTGGCTGGGGTGAGGTGTTCTGTCCTGGTCCTCCATGTGTCCTCATCTGTGTGTCCAGGTGTGTGTGTGTGTGTCTGTGAGTGGTCACACCCTTGCTGATTACGCAGGATGCCAACAATATGGACGCCCAGGTGTTCCCCTGCCTCCCAGCTAAAAATACATCTATACCTCATCCATGCTTCCATCCCAGGAGGCAAGAATCTGGGCACTTTTTAAAGACCTCCCGAGGAGCGACCACTGTGCCTGTGTGCAGTAATATCCACTTGGCATTCGTCTTGTATATGTTCACGCTGTTTCTGGGCCACCACAGGTTTGTGTGTCCAGGGCGTGTGCATGTAACACACAGGGACCTTTTCTTGTGGTGGCCTTTCTTCCTGGACTTCACACGGAGACTTGGCGTAGGTGGGGTGGGGGACAGGAAGCGGAGGCGCAGGCAGCACGTGGGTGCACCCCTGCACTGAGCATGCTCCCCCATACACGTGTGCCCCGCGTGCACCCAGCCCCCATCCCTGCAGCAGCAAAATGCCAGAGCACTTTGCTTGTGGGAAGAGGGCAGGGGTGGCCAGGACTAGGCCTGGGGGCCAGGTCAGTGGTGACAGAATTAAGGGAAGATTCCCAAGGGGTAGGGGATCCTGCTCAGTAACGAGGGAGGAAGGGAGTTTTGGGGCAGGGTTCGGGAGTTGGTCGATTTTATCCCAGCGGTGCCAGAGCAGCAGTGACTTGTGGGTGGGCAGGCTGCTTCCCTGGGGGAGACGAGTAATGCTCATGAGTCACACCACCCGAAATACAAGCAGAGCTGCCTCCATCGCCTTTTGCTGCAGCCCAGATTGACAAGTTTGTTTGAAATCGCGATCCACGGGGTATATTTATAATCGCACCTTCAAAAAAAAATCTTTTTGCAGGCTTCCCCTCCCCCCACAGCCAGTCGCTCAGCTGGCGGGGCTTCAGCAAGCAAAGGTACCTCGCAGTGGGGGTGGGGGTCGGCGGCGGGGGGGGGGGAGCACCCCCTGCCGCCCCGTGCGGCACCCGCACCAAGGAGTCAGTCTGTGGGCTTGGTGGCCCCGGGCTGGGCGACGAAAAGGAGCGCACTGGCCGCGAGCGGTGGCCGCCCATTCACCCCCGATCGACCCCCAGCTATGGAATTTCATTTATTAAATGTCGAGGCGGCTACTGGCAGCCCCATCGCTCGGCTGTCTTTGTTTCTCTGCTGTGTGGGCGCGTCTCGAGCACGTGGCAGCTGGAGCGCGCAGACCGAAGGAAAAGCGACCTGGGTTTAGGCTAGGGCCGCCTGGCAAAAAGAGATCTCGCTGCTAAGGGAATTAAGTCCCCCGATCCAGGCTGCGCTCCCCCTCCCCCAGAGCTGTAACACTTGGCAGGAGGATGATTCACCCCACTGCCCCCTCCCGCCCACCAGCTCCATCTCTTGGTAGCCCGGGGACTAACTGAGAGTGGCCTAGGCTCGGAGGCATTCTCCGAACTTTATTCCGGAAGCCCCCAGCCCCGCCACTGCAGAGCTTCTGGGCCTGGACTAGGGATAAAAGGTTTGTAGGATTTCCCGGAGGAGATGTCGCCACCCCAGGAAGCAGGACAGTAAAAAAGAAATCTCAGACAAGGTTCTGAAAACAGTTTAATGAGGAAATGTACACGCATTCTCCGGGCCACTCCTAGGCGTCCCTCCCTGGCTCCAACCCCCTCCCCAACTCCGGCCGCGGCCACAACACTCTGCTGACCCCTCGTGGTAGAGGTGGGCAGCGGTCCGCGGCTGCCGGAGATGCCAGCTGGCTCCTCCCAGGCTGGAGAAAAGGGGCACGGCAGTCCACTCCTCCCTTATCCTTTCCCGCCTGGGCCTGGCACCGCAGGGTGTGGAGGAGGAAGGAGAGAAGACCACACAAAGAAACCTGAAAGAGGCGCGGAGAGTTTGCAAGCTTTTGCTAGCACCTCCCACACAAACACTTCTTGGATTGTTCTAACATGAGCTGGTATGGAATCCCTCATTCCTGTCCTGTTCTAGGATGGACTCAAGAAGGCGCTGTGCCTGGTCCCGCCACCTGTCTCCGTCCTCGTGGTTGAGGGCGGGATGCGCTATTTCCAGGGTAGTTACTATCCTTAGCTCACCCCAGTAGGTAGGTATTTAGAGTCTCACTTTAGAGGTGAGTGGTCTGAGAAAGAAAATTTAAGCCATTTGCTTCTGGTCAGGGGGTTACTAAGGAGAAATTCAAACTCTGGTCTAAGAGCCTAATCCCCTCTCCGTTCAGGGCCGGGCCACTGATCCGGCCACTGATCTAGATCCTTCCAGCCCTTGCAATAGGCAGCCCCAGAGGTCAATTCCATTTTTACCACAGTGTCTGCAGGGACCCTTCTGGAAAGACCTCTGTGCCCTGGGGTTGCTCGGGAAGGAGACAGTCTCTGGAATCAGTCACTTCGTCTCTTGAGGGGACCGCATTGGGTGGAGGTGGGGAGCTGCCACCTGCTGCTTTCTCTGCCCAGCCCTACTCTGGTCCTTGCTGAGGACAGCAAATGCGGGGAGGGGACCGTGCTCCCAGCCTTAGTGGTCATTCCCTTTCTAATGTCAAGTGAAAGATGGAATTTAATAACAGGTCAGGGAAGACTCCTACATAGTATTTCACGTGACAGATCCCTGGTTGCTCCAACGACCCTTGGTACAAATGCCTCGAGCCTTTCTCAGGATTCCCCCCATCAGCCACTCTTGGAATCTGGATCCCTTTTCACGTTCCACTGGGACCCAAACTCAATCCTGAAAGCCACGCTTTCCTGCGGCCCCACTGCCTGAGCAAGGCCTGTAGCCCCCCTCCCTCGCCAGCAAAAGGCAGAAGGCCGGTGGGTGGGGGTGCGCCCCAGCCTACCGGGCGTCAGGACGCTGTCTCCGTTCCGCTCGGGCCTGACACGCTCTCCTGGGATCAGGGTGTCAGAGCAGGACACTCTCCGGCCACCGCCACCCCCAGTTCCACGAGGCGGACTACATGCCCCATGATGCCGCGGGGCCGAGCTACAACAAGCTCTGCCCCGGGCACCCGGGTCCCCCTCCCATCTCCCCCGCATCCCCGCATCTCTCGCCGGCCGCTCGGGCTGCGGGCCGGGCAATGCAGCTGCGGGGAGCCGGGGGCTGCGGGCGCGCGTCCCTGCGGCGGCGTCCCCGGGGTTCGCGCCCCGTGCGCCCCCGCGCCCGCTGCGGGCGCCTGCTCCCTCCGCCGAGAGGCGTCTTTGTGTGCGGGGGTGTGGGAGGTGAGGCGCGAGTCCGCGCCGCGCCGCCGAGCGCCCGCTCGCTCCCTCCCCGGGCGGGTGGGGGCCTCTCCGCGCCGCCCGCCGCCGCCTCGCGAGGACGCCCGCGGCCCGCGCCGCCCGCACAGCGCCGGGCGCGCCGCCCCCGCCCGCCGGCGCCGCTCGCACATGCCCGAGCCGCAGCCCTGCGAGCAGGCAGCGCCGGCCCCCCGCCCCGCGGCCCCGGGCCCCGGCTCCGGCGCCGTCCCTCCTCCCCGGCCGGGCGCCGCGGCCCTGGCATGAGGAGCGGGCGATGATCCCAGCCAACGCCTCCGCCAGGAAGGGGCCCGAGGGCAAGTACCCGCTGCACTACCTCGTGTGGCACAACCGCCACCGCGAGCTGGAGAAAGAGGTCCGCGCCGGCCAGGTAAGAGCGCCGTCGGGGCGCCGCGGGGACCCCGCGGCCGGGCACGCCCGCCGGGTGTGGGGAGGGGGCGCGGCGCGGGCTGTCCCGCCTCCCCGGCGAGTTTGCAGCGCTTCTTTGTTCGCAGCCGCGGCTTTTGTGCTTGTTGACCGGGAGAGGGTGATGGGAGCGGTCCCCGCCCGCTCCCCTCCGGCTCGGCCGGCCGGCCCACACGTGTTCCGGACCCTCCCAGGTTGGGGTCGGGGACGCTGTGTCCCTCCTCGGCCGGGGCGGAGGGCTGCGGGGAGGGGCTGCCGGCTCGCTCTGTGCTCCGTGTGGAGAGAGAGTCCGCGGAGCCTCAGAGCAGCGACACCTCCCGCGCGAGTGTGCGGAGGTGGGCCAGGCCTGCGTCGGGAGGGGTCACAGGTCAAGGATCAGAGAATGGGCTGTGGCACTCTCAGGCATCTCAGCCCCACCCAGTGCCTTCTACCCTCCCGCTGAGCTCTTCGTCTCTTTGCTCCGATTGAGCAGAGCCCCGGGGTCCCGCAGACCCCAGCGCCGGCCCTGGAATGGGGAGTGGAGAGAGACCCCCTGTGGGGAAGCGCTGAAGGGCCTTGTCCAGGTGCTGAAAGGAGCTCTCTTGCCCTCCGTTGCTGGGGCCTGGCCTCTAGGCGCTCAGGAAGCTAGGGGCCCCTGGCCACAGGAAGGATTTGGGGTCCTGTACACAAAGTGGGCCCCCTGGTTCCTGCCAGTCTGTGAGAACGGGCGGGTCAGCGGCTTTAGCTGGGCACGAGCCTCCAGGAAGACCAGGGAACGGATGGGTTCTCCTGGTCATTCTTCAGGACCAAGGCAGGCACAGGTCACAGGTAGCTCCCAACTCTGCCCTTAGTCCCCAGGCCACATATGGGGTGTGGGCAGCTCACCCTCCGGGGTGGGGGAAGCATGAGCCAGAGCTGGGCCCGTTCTGCCCCGGTTTGCCTCAGGTTGAGGCCTGCAGACTTGGCCCAGATCTGAGACCCCGGGGCCATGGGAGTGGTTCGCTCAGGAGTGGTCCCCTTTGGGAATATTCCTTTGGAGGGCCACTTCCTGAGTCACAGGAAGTTCATTTTGAGGAGCTGTCTGCTTCCCAATGGACGAGTGAGATGGAGAGCAAGGTAGGGGTCAGAGAGCCTCTGAAGCCCACCACTGAGCCCGCAGAGCAGCAAAGCTTCCACCTCTGCAGAGCAGTCCTAAGAAGTGTTGGGGTGACCTGAGGCTCCAAGCTTCTGGGCTGGTTGGGGTGTCCACTTGTGTTCCATCTCTGCTTAAACAAGGACGCTCCTAGTTGCTCCTCAGACCGTGTCTCTTTTATCCATCATAAAGGACGTGGCTTGCAACCAGAGAGGCCTGGGAAAGGAAGCGTGGCCTGAGTGCTAGGTCCTGGGGGAGAGAGAAGAACAAACCAGGCACATCCTCTGCTCTCAAGGAGACCCCTTTCTGGTGCTGGGAGTGTGAGCCTGGAAGTAGAGTATGATGTGCTGGCTGCTAAGGCAATCCAGTCTCTTCTGACCCCTCTCTGTTTTCCTCCCCCGGGGGGCAAAAGAAGACAAGCTTCTGAAGGAGGTTAAGGCTGGAGGGATTTAAATCTGATGTGAGAGGAACTTCCTGATGCGGTGATTGACGATTGGTCCAGGATTGTTAGGCAGAAGGCTAGTGGCTGAATCTCCAGAAATCTCAGTTGTACTCCCTTGCCTGAGGGGTGGGTGGTTCTTTTCTTGCTGAGATTGGAGAGAGGCGAAATGCCCTGGAAGAAAAGACTCTCACCTCAGCCTCTCTGATGGATAGTACTCCAGTCAGCAGCCATCTTGCTGAAGTGAGGTTGGGGTGGGGAGCATGGGAACCCGCTGCAGGTAGGGGTGCTTTGGGGCTGCTGCGTGTGTTCCACTTTGCCCTCAGGCTGCCACAGAAACTAGGCACCAGGTTCACCAGTATCTCCAGCCTCCCATCCCTCCCAGTTCCCTGGTGTGTTTGCATCTCCCGGAAACGGACACTGCCTGCCCCGATCCAGGATAGCAGGAATATAGGGCACTGGTTGAAGTTAACCCTTGTTCAACCACAAAGGAGTCAGGCCCGTCCTCTCCTTTGCTCCAGGGATGCCAAAGAAGGGGAATGCCAATCAGCCTGCATGGGAGAGGCCCCTGGCTGTATCTCCAAACCAGGACTGACCCAGAGTGGCCCTTGCATTCAAATGTGCACTGCTCAGGGTCCCAGGAAGAGCTGAGGGTGTCCAACCCAGCCCTTTCCTGATGGGAACGGGCCTGGGGGCAGCCTCCTAACATCATAATGAAACCCCATAGACCCTAAGCATTCCATCCAGCGGGGGTTCCCTGACCTCTGGTCCTCCTGGCACCAGCTGTCACAGAAAACATCCAGGCTTTCCTCAAGCACATAGCAGCTGGGTTTCCCTGGTCTTCACTTGGCATAGCTGCCTCTTCTTCGCTCCAAGAAAGCCCCGCAGAGGGCAGCCTTGGCAATGCCGGCAGGCTGGGGAGGGGGGTGGAATGGCAGGCTTCAGGTTCATCGGCTTTGCTCAGGGCCCCCGCACCCCCACAGCTCTTCTGGGGGCCAGACGCAGGGAGTGGTGGGGAGACGGGAGATGCTCATCAAGTGTTTTGATGAAGGGAAACACCTTCATGGACCACCGCTAGCTGGCACCCAGCAGTATGATGGTTGCTGGGTGCCCTGCTTCCCTCTATGCACACACCCTGCCAGGTTGGGAGGGGGCAAGGGGCTGTAGGCCAGTGGATGTGCTAGTTTCCCCTTGGCTACCAAGGCCCTGAGGTTGGCATGGCCAGCCGAGCACAGCCCCGGTCCCTGAGTCAGAAGGCCCGGTGTTCCCTGGGAGGCAGGAGGTGGAGGTTCAGCTGTGTGCCTCCCTGTGGGAGAGCCAAGGGGGGCAGGGTTCTTTCCTGGCAACAGGCACTGGAGGGGAGGGGGCAGACTGTTCCCAAGGAAACATTTCTTTCTTCCTGGGGCTGCCTCCATCATTGTCCTCCCAGCTTTCCTCAGTTCATCCTTCTGACCCAGAGGTAGGCAAGTTGGGGCTGTGGGGGCCCTAGATGCTCAGAGGTTACCCCACCCAAGGCACCTGGTGTGTCCCAGAGCACCCCCTTCCCCTAACGTAGGCAGTCTTGGGTTTGGGCCATCACCACCTCTGGTGAGTGGGGAAGCTCAGAAGAAAGACGCACAAGCCCCAGAACCCCCAAATTGATGTGTCTGGGAAGCAGGGGAGGGGCTGCGTGGGGCAGGGTGGAGGGGGTAGGGTGGGAGGAGAGTCAGCAGGTGCTACCCTCCCCCACCCAACTCACCTTGAGGAAGCATCCCGCCTCCCTGCCCCTTGAGTGAGCTCAGGCCTACCTGGTGAGGCCCGGGGACTGGGAAGTAGTGACCACACCAGACTCTGGCCGTCCTCCTTTGGGCTGAGGGAGGCGAGAGAGCAGGGAAAGGAGATCAAGGCTGAGCATGCATGCCTCTGTGCTCTGGGCCTTTCACCTTCCTTTTCTGGCTCTATAAATTTGGTGTGTCCTTGTAAGATTTCAGCTCACAAAAGGATTCTGCTAATGCTAAACAAGTTTGAAAAACATCCTGCTAGTGCCCGTGGGTTCAAGGGGTATGCATGTGCAAATAACCTGACAGCAAACTTGGGGGTGACATCTGCAGATCCAGAGGGCAGCTGAGCATGCAGGTGCTGGCACACTTAGGGGAGCATGTGGACCCTGAGCGTGCGGGCAAAAGGAGTGGATTGTTGTGGCTTCCTCTGGTACCTGTTCACGTGTGCGTGTGTGTCTAGGTGTGTGCCAGAGTGGAAGCAGGGAGACTCTCTGCCCAGGGAGCTCAGCCCCTGAGCTGGAAAGACCCCTGCTTTGGACTCTTGCTGAGGCCTGCTGGGGTGCAGAGTTTCATTCTCTTGGTGGTGAGAGCTGGGTGTTAGGTTTCACGGGAAACCTTTTCATTCCAGCAATTAAATAGCTGCAGGCCTTTGCTAGGAAATTAATGAATTCTTCCACCTGGGCCTGGGGCAAGGCGCCACTTTCACTGCAGGCCCTGCTTTGAGCAGGTGGGGGGAGTTTCTTCGGGGGTTGACTAGGTGTTTTTGGAGGCTTCCGTTGGCCCTGGAAAACAGCAGGGCCCTGGGGACCCTGGGGAGAGCTCCCAAGGAGTGGAGGTGGGGAGGGGCAGCCGGGCCCAGCTAGCAGCGCCAGCCTCTCTCTGGGACCTGGAGGTGAGGCACCTGAGGGGGAGGGTGACAGGCAGCATCTGGAGCTCTGGGGCTGGGCCGGGTGCCCTGTCAGTTCCCCAGGGCCTTGTTAG